CCGCCGCGTTGGTTTGCAGATACGGAAGGTGAACGCACAAGGGCAGGAAAAAAAATGAAGCGGTGCAACATGAACGGGATGAATAACCACGATGCAAGAGGACGCGTTCTTGGCGAAGCTAACCTACCTTGGGGTTGCGCACTGTGATCCAGCAAGGGCCCATGAGCTTCCTCTTGATGAGGAAGGACTCGATGAGGGGCGTGCGAGCGCCAAAGATGGCCTGGAAGGTCTTACCCCCGGACTCGCAAACGTCCTGCAACACCAGAGAGCGACAACCACCCCCACGCCAGAGAGAGAAAGCGCGCGGGCAACCGGATCAATACCGAGAGGAAGAGAACGTAACGGCGACGAGAGAGAGGAGGGGGGGGGGGGAGGACAAAGTGGGAGAGAGAAAGACAGAGAGCGAAAGAAAAAGAGGGAGCGGGGGGAGTACTCTTTCAGTCACTCGCTTGACATTTGACTCCGGATGTCTTCGAAACTGAACGGCGTTCTACTCCTCCGAAAACGAGACACGTGGTGTGCAGGGGGGGGGGGGGGGTCGGTGTCTGTGCAAGGCGGCCAATCACAAAGCCTGACACCGCGGCGTATCTTGCGTTTCTAGGAATCATGTCTCGGCTGAGACAAGGGTTGCGTGCAAAATGAAAGCGGTGGGGGGACAAGAACTAACACCATCGTATTATGGACACGGTACACGCGGCTCCGAAGCAAACAGAACAAGAAGCTCTCCTGTCCCTTCTCACCTCCGGCAGCGCCGGGTAGCCAGCCGGGTACTTGATCTTGAGGTACTGCGTCTCCTCTCGAGGAACGGACAGGTCGCCGAAAGCGTACTTGCGCATCACCGGCTTACATCTTCGATTGAGCGGCACACGAAACGTAGACGATGACAAAGAAACACAGGTACAATATGTCAAGTCTGTGCCACGAAAAGCGAGTATTTCAGACGGGTCCCACCAAACGGGGGAAGAGTCAGAGGTTGGTGTTTATTGGAGTTGGAAGGAAGCATTCCTTCACACAGCACACGAAACGCAGACGATGCCAAAAAAAAGGTACAAAATGTCTCGTCTGAAAAATTACCACGAAAACCATCCATGAGATAGATCGGTGAGCGCTTGGCAAGAAATCGAGGACTCTTTTGGCAAACTCTTTGTAGATATAAATTACGACCCCCGTAAGACAACAGAGCGAAATGGAGAGCTTTGAACAAACTACTATTTACGTTGTATACCAGGGAAGGGATTGTGATTGCTACTTCGACACCAAAAGAGCGCCAGGAGGGACAGGAAGGAACAACGCGCCTGAACTGCTCCCCCTTTGCGTTGCGCTTGATCACCCTGGGCACCAGCACGGAGGCCATCTCCTGGTAGACGGCGCCGATATCGGCTCGCTTGGCGCTACCACCCCCGCCACCAGCGTCCTCATCGCCGTCACTGTATTCGCCGTCCTTCTCGACCAGCCTGCGGCAGCGGTAACGGTGAACGTCGGCGGTACAACAACCGCACCGCTTTCGTGTTGACTCAACTCGTCGGATGGCTGTGCGAAAACAAGAGCACTTGTTGGAAAAAATACACATTATTTGCAACACAGCAAGTGTGCGGCTATTACACATGGCATTCTTCGATTCCACGAAAAAATTGAAGCTCTCCCTCCGACAACAGGACCAACTCATATCCCCATTAACAAAAAAAAAACAAGAGTAACATCCCAAACACAACACACCTCGGCAGGACGAGCACCTCCCGCTCGATGCTGTGGACGGCGACGCAAGCGGAGAGGAACGTGGTGCCCGCGGCACCGGAGTCGCCTTGGGGCGAAGCCGAAGCCGAACCCGACGACGGCGACGGCACCGCCACCTTGCCGATGAGGTAAATCGTGCCGTTCTGCTCCGTGGCGTCGAGCCAGAACATGCGCATGAACTCCCCGGTCTCGTCCTGCGGGAGACGAGGGTCGCAGAAGTTGCATGTGACGATTTTGCCGCAACAAATACACGCGCGCGGGTCAATGGGGCCGCTATGCGTGAGAGGGAAGTTCGCACGCACGCACACGGCTTGTACTTTCAGTTGGTTGGTATCATGAAACAGACCGGAAGCTGAGCCGGGGTGCAAGAGGTATCTGTGAGCTTTTGGAGCCCTCTGACCAAGGAAAAAGTCGCACCCAAAAGTTAGAAGGCGTTTTCCATCTAATGCAAAAGGGAGTAGGAAAACTGCGCGCACTCGTACTCACACAGCTAACTCTGAACAAATAATACGTACCAGTCACGACCCGACCCATGCGCGTTTGTACACAAGACGAAGGGCGCCGAGCGAGCGTAAAAACAGGTACGTACGGCGCACCGATTACTATTCCCACGTCTCGATAGCGGCCCGCAAAGCAGGGAACGCACGCAGAGTTCATCCGCGATTGACGGCGGCTCCTCGAGAGGGTGGAAAAGTTCGAGATTAGAGTCTCCAAAGCCGAAGACGTAATACGGCGGTTTGTGTGGGGCGTTTTGCTACTTCTACACGGTTCTGGCCCCGCACCCGTCTGTTTAGGTAGCCAGCCAGCACCATACTCGAACCAAGCACACAAGAAGAAGAAGAAGACACACACATCACGACAAGACGGCAAGCACACACACACGTGGGGTCCCAGATCATGGCCTTTAGAAAGCACTTTCGTTTTCAGACGCACTTAGTCTTTCATCGGTCAGTCGGTTAGCACTGTTGATGCTAACGATAAAAACACATACCGTGTTTTTTTCATCGATCAGCCGGTTAGCGCGGTCGACGCCAACAAAAAAAACACACACACACATACACACACGGCATGTACATTCAACGTCTCTCACCTTCTGCAGCCAGGAAGACGCCCAAAATAAATACAAACACACGGCATGTACAACTTCTCTCACCTTCTGCAGCCAGGACGAGGCGCTCGCGACCGAACCGGCGGGCGTCGAGGGCGCCTCGCTGAGCGAGTACTGCGGCCCCTGGAACTCCAGGCTTGGCATGTAGCTTCCCTTCCCCTCGCCGTCCTTTCTTACAGCCGCCGCCGCCGCCGCCGGTTTCTCCTCGACGGTCTTGGGGCGCAGGGCCGCCTCCGCGGCGGCGGTCACCGCGATGTCGTTGGTCTCCTTCATCCTGGCGAACCTCGACCGGGGCTTAGCGGAGGCAGCGGCGGCCGGAGCCGCCGCCGCCGTCGCTGTTGCGGGCGGTTCGGGCGAGACCACCGCCGCGAGCTCCTTCTTCTCGTCGCCTCCAGCAGCAGCGGCAGCGGCAGCACCGTCACTGGCGGTGTCTCCGGCCTCATTTTCCGCCGCTGCAGCGATAATGCTGTCCGAGGCATCCTCCATGGCGGCGTCACCGTCACCGGCGTCTTCTTCTCCGTCGAAATGCTCGAACCCGCCGACATCGTCGCCGCCGTCCCCGCTTGCTCCCGGGTCGTCCTCGTAGTCTCGCACGGTCCAGGCGGAGGGCACCGGGGGGCGCCTGCTGTCGCTGCCCCCGCCGCCGGCACTGCTGCCGCGGGAGGCGGTGCTGCCGTAGGAGCGGCGGGAGCGCGCGCTCTGCGGCGTAACCAGGCCCCGCTTCCGCCTGGATAGGGGCATCGCTGACGACGAGGATGACGACGGGCCGCCGCTGCTGCTGTTGCCGTTGCCCGGGGCGAGGTCCGCGATGGGGTTGGACGTTAGGTCGCTCAGCATGTCGTCCAGGTTGAGGCCACCGCCGGCGCCGGCGCCGCCTGCGTGTTGGTCGGTCAAAAAGCCAGGGGGTCGTGTTGTGTCAGAACAATGACGCCGGATCTTTGACGTTCGACGGTCGACCACCCTTTGCATTCGATGGTCTACCCTCAAAGTGTCATCAGTGGGTGAGCTTTTCATCAAAGCCGTTGTGGAAAGCAACGCAGCGGCCGAAATAAAAAGGTAGGTGTTGACTACCGGCAACCTTTTTCTCTGCCATAAAATCGGTCGGTAGAAACCATTGCGGTAAGAGGCACCTCCATCGTAACAGCTGTGTGCACGAATCAGAGATGGCCTTGGGCTAACACAGACAAGTTTGAACAAGGGTTTACCACTGCTGCACTGGTACAGATCAACTCAGTTCCCAGCCACGCCGAACCGTCAATCTACAGGGTACCTGTTTCTACTGCATACACAAAGCCTGTCTCACCCCCACGGCGGCCTCCGGGCGCAGCAGAGGAGTTGCGGGAAAGAGCAGAGGGCCCGACGGTGCTACCGCCGCCGGTCCGGAGGAACTTCTTGATGCCCCCCCCGGCCTGGGACGCTTCATCTCCGAGCCTTTGTTTCGGCGTGTGCAGAGAGGAAAAATGGTCGGTAAACAAGATGCCGAAATAGACGCGAGACAAACACACGAGAGGGAGAGGAAACAACAACACCACTGCCTGGCACAACTTTTTATGTCTGTATGTACACGGCCAGAGGGAGGAACAAAAGGAAGATATACCCTTAGGCGAATGTACGGGACCCCTTGGAGAGGCCACTCGACCCGACGGAGCAAAAATCAAGACGCACCCCAAGCACACACAAAATGAGTGACTCACTGGTTGAGCTTCCGAGCCTTGCGCCGAAGCGAATCCGCCTTGATCTTTCCGTTCACCCCCTTCCTGCCCCCTCCCTTGTCCCCCCTCCCCGCCGCTCCCTCCGAGCCGTCGGCCTTCTCTATGAACTCCTCGCCGTCGTCAGCGTAGCCCAGGCCGTCGTCGTCGACGACAAAGTCGTCCGCCTGCTGCCTCTTGCGGACGAGCTCCTGGTACTCTTCCTCGGTCACCTCGTCGTAGACCTCGTCATCGTCGTCCTGATGGGCGCGTTTCGGGAGAGACCCGGGGAGGCGGTGTCTAGAAAGGGGTAGATAGGTAATTCCAGAACAGGCTACTTATCGGACGTATCACACGCCGCGACCGATCATGCAACTGCCGCCGCCGCAGCGCTTGTTAGATACCATTAGACTACTCGGACGGCAGTTAGATAAAGGCTAACACATAAGACCACTGACTGAGTGGTCTAATGGGTTAGTTGGCCTTAATTTAATAGTATGCAGTGCTACATATACCGACACTTAGTGCTGCTGTTCCGAAGCCACAAGATCAGGCCTGCCATAGTTGGGGCCGGGGATGAGCGTTCGGTGGCCCCTGGATGGTGCCAGGTCTAGTGTCGGTTTGGCTGGAAGCAGCCGTATTTCTTTAGAACTCTCACGTGCCGACAGATCGGCCAGCCACTCAACGGCACAAGCGGTATCTCGGACTTTCGCCATAACGCAGAGCGGCCACGTATCAAGCCAAGGCGGGCGGCGCCGGCCTCCAGTGTAATGGAGCAACATGACGTACGCTACATAGCAGCAGTCGCGGATCCTCCGGTATTCTCCGTACGCATGCATACAATTGGGTATATTCTGAAGCGAGGGTCTGTGCGAAAAATTTCAAGACACATAGGCCTACTAATCAAAAATCGGGGTGATTTGGGGGGGGGGGGGCGGGGACATATACCCATGCATCCCCGGGTTTTCCCCCGAGGCGTCGGTGGCGTTAGGTTAGGGTTAGGGTTAGATTGATCAAGTCAAACGTAACCCTACAAGACCAAGGCTACGAGTAGATTTGCGAGACTATGTTCCCTATTGTGCAGTGCTAGAACGGGGCAAAGGCAAGTTTGCAAGGTAGGTGGTTGTGTTGGATGGTTAGCTGAGCTGCTTCGCTCATTTCGAGCTTTGGCCGAATGTACTGTACTTTTGTAGAAATGGGGCGCTACCGTACGTGTGTTCCTATAGCACGGCTGAGCGTGGGCCGGCTTCTGACGAGCAGATGCGGAAGGAGGAACGAGAGCGAGGCATGTTTGCAATCCATCTAACCTCATGGTAACTTTTCGACGATTCGTGGTAATTTTTCGAATTTCTCCCCCCTCCGCGGGGGGGGTGGGGGTAGGGCCAATGTGTCCAGATTTTTTTTTCGCACAGACCCTTGACTGAAGTAAGATATTTCGACAATTGGAGGAGAAAGTCTTGGCAACAGGGAAGACTCGCCGTTGGAGCTCCGCAGGTGTACTTGAGTCGCGAAACCATGCTAGCGATGTACACATTGCGGTGTGCAAAGCCAGCGATCTGGCAAGCGCCACGCCGATCCATCTGCGCATTTGCGCGCGAAAACCCACGAAGGGCCCACTCTTGCCGTGGTGCAAATTTAGACAGTAGTCCATCCACAACGCATACCAACACCGCTACTGCTGTGTGCTGTTGGGCGTGCCAGACAGTTCGTCTCAATGCGCGTGTCGGGGGTGAATACGCAGCCGAAGAACAGGGCGCGCATAAAAAGCTCCATGGCAACGCGGTGAACACTGCCGTATTGCAACATCACTGGGTTGGGAGGTTGGCGAGACCTTCCTGATGACAATTTCAAAACCTGCCCAACTCGAAACGGTCGCGGGGTAAATTCTGGCAAGAACAGAGAGGCAGCAGCACTAGGTTTGGGCTGCAACCGAGGGTAGCGGGCACGTCGATCACACTCACTCGTGGAATACAGCGCTGACTGTTGGCTGTACTTCGCAAAGGGCACGGGGATGGAGGACGTGAGGGTGGTGCACCATCTGGCGGGTGTGTTCCAAAAATGTCGTTGTGGGGGAGTTGATATTTGAACATCCTCTGCCCTGGTTGACGGCAGCGCCATGCCGATTCACAAAACGATTTCTCCACCAAATGAACTACAACACACAGAAGCACGACGCATAGAAGAGCGTGCGTCTGCAGAAATTGTACACGTACATGCCAACATAACACTACTCAACGCAGCAGCTGCTTGTGGCAACAGCATCGGCGCGGCTCTGAAGCCGCTGCCCAGCGAGCGACACAAATCGGCTCCTCGTTTCTCCTCACCTCGTGCTGCTCCGTCCTGCTCTCAAGGCCATCTCGCGCAGCACGCAGGCTTTCCAGCGCAGATGAGTGGGCCGTGGGCCTGACCCTCCTCTGCCGAGCGCTCGTGCGCCTCTCCTCTGTGCCGGACATAACTGCTCCCTCGTTGTTGCGATGAGCAGATGAGTGCGTTGCTGCTGGTTCTTCTCTCACGCGACAGCAAGAGAGGGAGTTATCTTAACCTCGCCAACAGTCTCAACGACGACAGCGATGAAAAACCAGCAACACCAACAGTGCACTGAAGCAACAGGTGGTTAGCTTGTCGATCTGCAGTTCACACGCGCCTCTTCTCCCTGATACAGCCAGTGGAGTGGTCGTGGATCGCATCTGCTGTGCTTAGCACTTGAGCAAATTTGAATTCATGGGGGCACCGTAAAATCAAACGAATCGCGTAGGATGCCCCATATCCTAAAGCGGGCAAAAGTGAGGGGGGAGGTGTCGGGTCGCCGTTGGGTGCTGTCGTCATGTACAGCATACTCACTGCTTGCTGCTAACGGGTTACTCGCGGGTCACGGGTAAGCCAGAAGCTCGACAGCTAGGCGTGAGAAGGCGGGACTCATGAGTAGTAGAAGGAGCATGAAGGGCGAAGCTCGCGGCGCCGTGGCGGCAACAGTGGGCGGTGAACAAGGAGGAAAGAATCCATTTCAGTGTGTCCTTGACAAGGAGAACAGGCCCGACGGTGAGAGCGGTACATAGCAGCGTAGTACGTGTTTCGAGCATAGGCAGGGAAGTTTCAGCAGCCGCACGCAAAAACGATTGCGTGCGTTTCTCCTCTTCGCACTCTCGCGCCCGTCCGCCTTCCATAGTTTGAGCTGCAAGAAAACTCACACCCCTGTTTTCCGCATGCACCCCGCGCGCCATTTTTTTTCGGTTGATGGATTTGGCGTGCACGCCCGTCCGCCTTCACCAGACAACAGAGAGATGGGCAAGCGCGAGGGGCGACCAGGGGAGGCAGCAGCGGTGAAGCAAGCGGAACTCAAGGTAAGGAACGCTGAGAGAGAATGAGAGAAAGCATCCATCCTTTTCGAAAGTAGTTTTATGACAACGAACTATTGCTGGATCACACTGCTGTATCCTCCTTACCGCTGTACATCGCGGCAGTCTCAGGAATGTTGGTGCGATCTCGCCGTTGGCCAGTTTTCCCACGCGACGACCTTTCCACCCGCTGATTTGTGTATCATTATTGTTCATACCGCATACTTCCCCCTCCTTCGTGTTTCACGCGTACGTGATTTTTTGGTGAGTGACGAGTGCCCGTTGAATCGAAACCACGGTCTTGCTCTTCAAAGGAGGTCTGACTTGTGGTACATACAATATTCAATTTCAATCTTATTGTCCGCGTGCGATCCTTTGAGTACCACCGAGCTCCGTTGATGCCGTGGCGTGCTGCTATCTGGGTGGCTCACCCTGAGGGGTGTTGCTACACGTCGAAGCAACTAGCACAAAGTGCCCAGAGCAAGCAGATCCCTGTTCTCGAGTGCACTAGTACAATATACCGCCTGATATTCCATCAACGGTCGCCTCTTTTGCTGCCCTCCGGCATCGCCGCGACAAACATCATGTACTAACTTACATACACCCCCACACGCAGGGCAACAATATCAATAACACCTCGCCCGCCGAGGGGGCGCAACGCGTAAGGACCAACACCCCGCCTAGCGGAGGTCCACAGCGCGTCAAGCTCAAGCAACCTCGGGGAGATGGAGGGGGTGGCGACAGCGGCAGCAGCAATAGGAATAGCAGCACCGGCAGCACCGGCAGCGTAGGAACAACGGCCCGGAAGGGCAAGCACTGGACCGTCTCCGACTTCGAGATAGGCTGTCCTCTGGGGAGGGGAAAGTTCGGCTCGGTGTACCTGGCAAGGGAGAAGAGGACGCGCTACATCGTGGCCATCAAGGTCCTGCAGAAGAAGCAGCTCCTCAAGGCTGGGGTGGAGCACCAGCTTCGCCGAGAGATCGAGATCCAGTCCCACCTGAGGTAAGCAGTTGACTGTTCCGGGCCAGGATACGGAGCGGGAGGGCCTCTGTTGCACCGTCTCTGTGTTGTTTTGAGTGCGCATGCTGCTTCATGCCAAATCTGGGAGTTTGGGGAGCAGCTGACTGTTTGTATTGGTCTCACGTCTTGGCAAGGTGTCTGTTTTTTCCGATTTCATGTCTTGTGCTGCTGCTGCTGCTGCTGCTGCTGCTGCCGACGTTGTTACACGCGTGGCAAGGAAGCGCATCTTAACTGAGTTCCGCGATGGCGATGCGATGGCAAGCTCCCGTAGTGCCCGTTCTTGGTTGTTTCTTCTGTGAGTGTTGCGGTAAGTTCCGCTGAGACAGCAGTATACAGCCACGAACTTATGACTTTGGCTTTGCGCGGCACGTGACGGTAAGTCTCCCACCCCGCCTAATTTTATCAAAGCGGTCGGGGGGGCGGCGACAGGTTTCAAAGCGTACGCTACCAGGGTCCTGCATCCTGTTCTGATTCAGAGTGGTTTTGAAGAAGTCGCACTCGCCGAGAGCTAGCTCTCCGAAGATGTGTGGGTAGCGAAGCTCAATGATCCACCGGTGGCGTACTGTGTCCATCCTCCTCTCGCCGTGACAACCTTATCCTCGAGGGGCGAACCAAGAAAAGCGCTGCACCGCCCTTGGTATATGCTGTGTCTACGAAGCGAGAAATCGGTTTGTCGAACCTCCGTCCGAATTGACCCCATCATCCTATCGGGAATGTAGATAGGATGACGATGACTCCGTTTAGGACACCCCCTGTTCTGAAATTGCCACGCCATCTAGGTGGAAACGGGGCTAGGAGTTCGCTATATGGCAACCGTAGTCTAGTTAATTGTGCTTGGCACGACCGTTTATGGTGCGGGGTAGTTGCACCAGTATTCCCCCGCTCTTGTTCTATTGTCGCGCCCGCCCTTCCCCCTTGGTGGGCGAAGAGTAAAGAATATTTGATTATCGCGTTGAGAGGGTTACCATGGTGCGAAGACGCTCACACGCTCTCAAACTCGGTCTGATAGGCACGGACGTGTTGCACGGTTGCTCCGCCTCACTTGCTGCTAGGAGATTGCGTGGTCAACGCAATGTCCCATAGAGGCGGAAAGCAAGCACAGAATGAATTGGTCTGATTTCCCGCTTTCGTTCTCATTGCCGCTTCTCTCTCTCTCTCTCTCTCTCTCTCTCTCTCTCTCTCTCTCTCTCTCTCTCTCTCTCTGCCTCTCTTGCGCTTTTGTCTATCCTACCCCGGACCCCCGGACCCCTAATCGTTGTCTTCAGGCATCGGAATATCTTGCGATTGTTCGGGTATTTCTACGACGAGAAGCGGATCTACCTCATCCTTGAGTTCGCCCCGGGGGGAGAGCTGTACAAGACTTTGCAGAAGGGCCGATTCAGCGAGGCCAAGGGGGCCCGGTACGTGCTGGACGTGGCTCAGGCCCTGGCCCACTGCCACAAGAAGAACGTCATCCACAGAGACCTCAAGGTACAACAATACAAGAGGGGCGAGCGCGTCTGTCTGTGTGCATGCATGCATAGGTGTTGTGTTGGGTGGCTTTTGTGGTGCTGCCAGAGAGGGTGTCATGCGAAGGACGAAACGCATCTCAGAGAAATCTCTCGACACCATGATCCACCACCGGCCTAGCAAACAGAACGCGCGACGACTTCAGAACCTGAAAGTTGAGTAGTTCCGGCTCAAGAGCGACAGAATTTTGAAGAACTTGGCCGCAAGAACTTAATGCTCTGGGAAGAATCCTACACTCACCCTAAATAGTTACTGCTGTTGGGTTATCCCCACCGGGGAATTAAAACTGAGACTAGGGGCAAGAATACGAGGTTCGTAAGTAGGATGTAGCTCGCTCTTCCTGCGACTCACGTCAAGGCCCTTCGTGTTTGGTGCTACATGCGAGCCTAATCGGCGAGAACCACCGTCCCGGCTTGAGACGAAGAAAGACTAAATAAGTCATGCACGGCTTTGTCGTGAGTGCCCCGTGCCTTGCCACACTCACGTGCACTTTTCGTTGATGCTGCCTGCTTGTTGTGGGAACCGATTTGCGTGCCCGTCCCCGTTGCCGTTCGTTCGTACAGCCCGAGAACCTTCTCATTGGTTCGACCGGGGGACTAAAGCTCGCCGACTTCGGGTGGAGCGTCCACGCCCCCAACTCGCGGCGCAACACCTTGTGCGGCACCCTGGATTACCTTCCCCCAGAGATGATCGAGGTGACTTGGGTGCTTCTTCGTCATGTCGCCTGTCTTGAATCTTCTCGCCATCCTTGCGGTCGACGTAGTTGGTGCCAAGGATAGAAAAGATCATGACTGTCGCTCGGTAGTTAGACGTATCGAGAGGTCAAACCTTGGGTGCTGTCTCCTGTTGCACCGACTGGCCACTATTGGTCTGTCCTGCTGCGGTGAATGGAAATGAGCGGCACGCACGACTGACCCTATGTTCTCCTCGTTGAGCTTGTTTTTTTTTGCTTGAGCGTCCTTTTTGCTTTTTTGTGCCTCTTGGCAACATCTACATTGCGGTGGGTCAAGAGTGCGTGCCCCCTCCACTGCTGTGCTTGGCATTTCGAGGATGTGCTTCTAGCAGGCTCGTGTCTTGGTCTTGTCGCCTTGTCCGCGGAAACGGGTATGGTGACATCATGCTATGCCCGCGTTCTCTCTGACCCCAACATACATTTACTCAGCAATCCGGTGCATGCGCACTCACCCACACTCATGGCCCAAAGCTGAAAGTGTGCATTGTGTTGCATTCGACGGCGCCTTTCTCTCTGACACCACCACCGCTCCAAACAAAAGCGAGGCGCCAGCGGCCGCCCGCCTGCGTCGTCGTCGGTGGTCTTATTTATATATTTTCGCGAGGCGCCAGCGGCCGCCCGCCTGCGTCGTCGTCGGTGGTCTTATTTATTTATTTTCGCGAGGCGCCAGCGGCCGCCCGCCTGCGTCGTCGTCGGTGGTCTTATTTATTTATTTTTTCTTTCTTCCTCTATTTTTTTGCCGTACTGTACTGTGGCAGGGGAGGGAGCACGACAGCTCCACGGACATCTGGTCCCTGGGGGTCCTCGCGTACGAGTTCATCGTCGGGGTGCCTCCCTTTGAGGCAGAGGGTCACCAAGCCACCTACCGCCGCATCTCGAGGGTGGACATACGTTGGCCAAGCGCGCTGGTGGGTGTTTGCTGAAGAATCTCTGTGTTGATCTTTTTTTTTGTTCGCTTGTTTTTGTGGGCGCTACGCGCTGGCTGTCTTCTGTGGTCGCTGCCTGGTCGACGTGCCTCTGTGCCTGTCTGCAGCAGGGGCAGAGGGGTAGCGACGTGGCAAGTTTTCGGCTTGTTTCTCCGGCCGTCGTCTCCTGAAAACGATTCTCAAAGCTCTGCTCTGCCTTTTTTATTTACCCTCTCGACAATCCGTTGTAACTGTTGGTGTGACATTGTAGAATGGTGCGAAAAACGAAACTATGAAGTTACGGAGTGATAATTTTACAAAATGGCTCAGCGGTACCTGGTGATTCATGAAGTGATGTATATATTGCGGTTCCTTTTTTTTTTGTTCTGAGAGGGCGCCGCACCGGTACATCTTTTCGAAAAACCAGCGTGTGGTTGACTGTCAAACAAGCAATGTACAATTTTGTCGCGCAGCAACCACTGATTGTGATGTTCGTTGTCCACGGAGGAAAACGGCGGTGCCTTGTACGTAACATAGCCACCCATGCATGCATCAACGACCGGATTGAGCAGAACATCAGTGACGAGGCGAAGGATCTGGTCACCAAGCTCCTCCGGAAGGAGCCGCAGAAGCGCCTTCCTCTTGACGAGGTAATTTAAATTTAAGACCTTGACGCAGTATAGATGCTGAAATATATCTAACAGAATTACCATATGCATATTTGATGTGAAGACCGTTCTTGTGGATCTTTGGCTCTTCTTTTGTTTCCTCACCGCCTCTTGGCTCGGACAATCCTCCTCCAAGTGTATCAGCTACTGCTGTTGTTGAGGAATTCCGTAACTCCGCCCGCCCCCCCCCTGCTTGGCTCCGAGCGTGTTCCACTCCTGTCGCCGTTCTTCTTCTTGAGGTTGGCCGTGTTCAAACAGACACCATCCTTGCCTTTACACCCTTGAAGTGTCTTCAACATCTCCACTCACCCCCCGTGTTATACCACTTCCTGTGAGCAGCTTTACTTCATGAAACCCCGTGTTTTACCACTTCCTGTGAGCAGCTTTACTTCATGAAACTTGCAAGGAGTTGAAGTGTATAGTGAGTTCGCTCCTGGTGCTGGTCGTGAACACGCCGTTTATGCTGTCGGCCGCAGGGTCCGTAACTAGGTAGGCGATTTTGAGGCGATGGGTACCCGGCGCCCTGTCCTCTCTGCATCTCGCACGCTGAGCTTTCCCCCAAGAGAGGTAGACGTGTTCTGTGGACGGACATGCCGTTTTCGGTTTCGGGACAGAGAGCGCACCGGAACGAGGTCACTTTTTCCAAATACAGCGGGTTAGAAATTTACGGGGTTCAGCTTGTAGCATTTTCCGCAAGAGGCATATCGAGGCGGGGGAGTGATGCTGAGAAAACTCTGCAACCATGTCGTCGTTTGATCCGGTGCAGTGGCGAACTTCGAGCTGTACACCTTTGTCTTGTACTCAATATTGCTCTGCCGCTCCGGCAGTTCCGTACGTACATTGCTGTCCTTACAAACACACATCGAATCCATCAACACCACGTTCTGTGTGGTACGCTGCACGAAATAATAAAAGAAGAACGTTTGTTGCGGGTGAACGAACCGGCAGGTTGCATCCCACCCCTGGATCCGAAGGCACTGCGGCGACAGGACTTCTTCCGTCGGCGGGAGCGCGGCTGGGAGTTTCAAACGAAAGGCGGTGCCCGTTTAGCACTCTTCCGGTGTGACCCATCTACATGCCTGGTTTCGCCCCCTCTCTGTACCTGTAATTGTGTTTCCACACTTGCCTCCGAAAAATTGTTGCCAACAGCCGCATGTAGAGGCGGGGCCGCATCCGAAATTATTTTGATTCGTCGGGACGTGCACGCGGCGGGTGTGCTTTGCTGCGTAGGTGTTTCCTGCGTGAGTACCTACCCCCAACGCTTGTGTTAGCGAACAGAGCGCACTCGCCGGGGGATGGTTTTGTTTTCGAAAGCGTCGTTGTGGCCCGAACTCTTCTACACGGGTAGTACGAACCCTTGGTGGAGTTGTTGGAGTGTTCCCGGCGTGCTCGACGTTTTCGCAAAGCGACGCTCGGTGTTCAGGCAGGCCTCACCAAGCCGAGGAATCAATGCACGAAAGAGAGAGTTCGCTCTGAGGCCTGAAGGAGCTTAGGAAACCGTTTCGTGAACGAGGGTGTGGTTGTAGCCGCCGTGAGATGTTGGCTGTTAACGCCTGTAGACAAAGATTGCAGGATAGCGGTGGTGCTGCGTCGTTGCTGAACATCCGTCTGAGAGCGCAGAAGCGCAGAAAACGAGTGGGTATTGTTGTACCGCAAGCAGGCAAACGCAATGTCTTGCGGAACTGCGTACTTGATCTATCTCCAGCTCGGTTGGCTCATCCCCCCACCCACACACCCCGCGGTATCCATACGTGTTTGGGTTCTCGGTGGTTATAGAGCGTCAGCCTGACGGAAGAGATACTGCATTCGTGAACTTATACTAGCGGCGTCCATGTATACGGCGTCAGGGTTTCGTTTTGGTGCTTGGTTTGTTGCTCGCGATCTGGCTAGACCCACACCGTTGTGGACGGAGATGGTTGAATCGCCTGTTGTATAGGTACTGCTGTCGGCATGCTCTCCCCAACACGAAGAAGCGAACCGGGAGTCTGAACTTTGGTCTGACGGGCGTTTCGGACGCACCCACAACCACAATTGTTGGTATTCACTCTTTAAGCGGGCGCCGAAGATAGAGCCACAACAGCGATCAAGGAAGATATCAGAGGAGCCCACGGCAGGTTGGGGATTGGTTGCCTGCCTGGTGTGCTGGCGGCCCGGTAGTTAGTCGTTTGCTGGGTGACAAGCGCCCCGCTCCCACTTTGCACCATACCGCAGCATGCTCCTTGCGGATGCAGAAGACAGGAGACAGACAGACCCAAACGGCGGTGGTACCGGTATTTCTGCTGAAAAGAAAGGAACGGACAACAGAAGGGTGTGAAATGGAGAACGGGGCGCGATTGCTCGTCGTTAGGGTGCACGACGATCTTGATCGGGTGCTGGTGCTGGTGTGAGCATACAATCACCACTTGAATGATTGCAAACAACTCCTCCCGTGGTGCGTGTGTGCAGAAAAACTAAGCCGACGACAATTTTCATATGCATACCAACCAAGCAGGTTTTCTCCCCCACCCGCTGCAAAGACTTTCAACGCATCCCCTTCGACTGTGCTACAAATTATCTCGAATGGGTATTATAATATGTAGTCTCTCAGTGTATCAGCAGTAGTCTTACTTCAAGTAACGTTGGTTGTGGCCGTGCCAAAATTACTGCGTCCACTATTATTACTGCCGTGTCCATCTAGTTAGTTCACGCCGTGTCCATAATTTTTTTCGTGTCTATCTACTACATGATGGAGAGACCTACATACATGCTGCTGTCCTAATAATTATGATTGTTGTAGTGTTCGTCGCTACCAGGCCCCCAGAACAACAGCAAATAAGTTCGATGTTGACTAATTTGAAAACATACCCAAGAGCACCAGAAACTGTACAACAGACACACAAGACCAGTCGGAAGGCATCGTAAAAAGCAGAAATCGTTGAATCCCGCACAGGGCGACAGTAGAGGCTGCTAAAAACATACCATTTCACGCGTCTACCTCCGCACGCCCCCTTTGAAGTCAAGATAAAAATTCGCCTAGATTCTAATTTCAAGTCAAAAGAGCCAAAACGGCAGGCGTTCAAATAAGGTCTGTGTTGACATACGTACCTGGTAATTAGTACTCTGTTATCAGTAGAGGACACCATGAAGAGGCTTCGTGCGTGCTGGTACGTTCAGGTTTGCTACTACTACTGGAGCTGAAATATCGAAGGTTGCCAAGGGTGCACAAAAAAATTTTTCCGACACCTAAATTTTTCCGACACCTAAGGCCATTTCTTGCGGTTCTTTTTTCGCAGATCTTTTTTCCCCCCTTTCGGACAACCCAGAAAGGGATCTACAAAAAAGATGACCCCCTTCTTACGGTGTTGGTCGATCCTTTTTCACCAACCAAAAAAAAAACAGACTCTGCAACGGCTGCTGTCACACATACATGCACCTTCCCACCGAAATGGTTTTTCGGTGATATCTCCTCACAGAGTGAAGCAGCGCCTACTGTAAAGCTATCCCTCGCGAGCTGTGTGTATGGTCCGTCTTGGGTGGCGGCTGACAGAGACCACAGGGCGATAGGAGGCACGGGAATGGAGGTGCCGAGAGTCGACAGCACGCTGAAAAAATGCCCACCGCGCCAGCAACCATTTTTTTTGCTCTTGTGCCCCTGTCAAAACTTTGGTTTACCGGTACTCCCTCGCCACCCACTCTAGCAACAGCGATGACAAAGGTATGCGCCACGAGCTGTGTGTATGGTCCGTTTTGTGTGGTGGCTGACACAGACCAACCAGGAGGCTATAGGACGTTCAGAAATTGTGAGCGCGAGAGTGGTGGACAAGCGGGAAAATGATCCGCCGCATCTTCAAGCAACTTTTTTCGCTCTTTTGCCCGTGTCGCAACTTTGGTTTGCCAGTACTCCCTCGCCACCCACTCAAGCAACAGCGATGATAAAGGCATGCGCCACGAGCTGTGCGTATGGTTCGTCTTGTGTGATGATTGATACAGACCAGGAGGCTATAGGACGCCCAAAAGTTGGGTTCGCAAGGTTGACAGTACACGAAAAATGACCCACCGCTGCTGCGTCCAGGCTCTCTCGGTTTGTTTGCCTCTTGTTTGCCGCACACATCGGGTTGTTGTCCACCTGGTCCAGCCCACTGACAAAACATTGGCTACCGCCGGTGCCACCGACTCTGTACCAGCCAGCAACATGACACAACTCGTGTGACCACCGTTAGAGTTTGCGGTGGGTCGTCGAGAGATTCAAGTTTCTAGGTACGAGTGATGTGGTTGTGACCAAAAAAAGACAACAGTTTTGGACAGCCTCCACTTGTCCAAAACTGCCCCAAAAAAAGACAGGATGGGCTGTCCAAAACGGGTTGTCTTTTTCTGGCGATCTTTTTTTGAGGAAAAAAGACATTGTAAGAAGACCTTCTACGGCCAGTTGTCTTTTTTTGAGAAGGAAAAAAGAAAAAGATCATAAAAAAAGACAACCGCAAGAAATGGCCTAAGACCCATGTTTATGGTCGCCAAATCTTTGCGAAAATGTTTATATTTTCAAACATTTGCGGACAAAGATTTTGTTTCACTGTTTATGGGAGAAAATCTTCGGCAAAATATTCTCAAACATTTTGAAATGGGGCAAAAGTCGCTCGTTTGACAAAATATTCTCAAACATTTTGAAATGGGGCAGGTCGCGAAAATGTTTCCCAAGAGCGGCGGGATTAGTAGACCACCGCCCCTTCCGTCCTAAACACCAACCACTGCGTAGCGCACACTCAACGTAGCAAGCTCATAGGGGGATCCGGACAACCCTAGCGTCACCGTGTCAATCTTTTGCTGGCTGATACATGGCGGGAGCTCGTCAAGCGTGCACAAAAAAACGAACAGACAGGGGTGGTTTGGAGGGCACGGAGAAAGCGTGGTTTGTGTTTCCGAACGGCAAAAAGTCGGCTGCTTGAGAGGAGAGGTGAGTACAAAACTATCCAGCGCTCGTCCTCTAGACCATCGATTCATGTTTTGTTTTCTTGGGTGTCTTATCCATCAACGGCTCTCATCCGGGTGTGCGTGGTTCAGCAGTGGACTTACTCAACAGGCAGGGAGGCGCGTCGCTGTGAACTCGATGTGTTGAAAAAGTCTTTTTTGGGACGGAGGAACAAGCGCTCTATATTCAAGTGAATAGACCGAAAAAACGTTGTGTCCACAACTTTGCGCGCACAACGATGTGCCTCCCTGCCGGCTGAGCGCGGCCACTGCCAACCCACGCACAACCGGATGAGAGTCGTTGATGGAGAAGACACCCAAGAAGACAAAACATGAATCGATGGTCTAGAGGACGAGAGCTGGATAGTTTTGTACTCACGTGTCCTCTCAAGCGGCCGACTTTTTGCCGTTGGGAAGCGCTGACGCACGTTTTTTTGGTCTCTTTTTGACACCGAGAACATTTTTTCTCGCACGCCCGGAGCGCTATCGCAACATATTGGCGGGCACAGCATCAGCTCAGTGCATCAAGGGTTGTGGGGAGCCCTTTGCGAGCTCGTTACATTCAGTTTCCATGACGCATTTGTGGTTTGTCTGTCACAAATCGTTTGGTAGCAGTAGACCACGATTCCCGCCGCACGTGCGATGCATTTCGAGAAAACCACACGATAAAGATTTTTTTGCCCATAAAAACGGTACTGAAATGTTCCTCTGGCAGATATTCGCGCGCCAATGTTTGACAACATTTGAAGATTTTTTTCAAAGATTTGGCGACCATAAACATGGGTCTAACCCCCCAAAGGGTGCACAAAAAAAACTTTTTTCGACACCTACATAATATAACCCCCAAAACTTTTTTTGGGGGCCCTTCGGGGGGGGGAGGGGTACGAAAGTCCCATCCCCCCCCCCCAAACGCCATACAATTTCCTATATAAACAAGTCTATAGTAAATCCTATATATAAAGTGAGCACACAGGGGGTAGTACAATCCACGTAGCCCCTGCTCAACAGTACCGCAGCCCGCAGCCGCGGTACCGTCCGTAGCAGAGGAGCGAGAGAGCGAGAGCTTGGGGGGAGCGGTCACGATGAGCACAGTCTCCGTGGGGAGG